TTCCCCCCCCCCCCCCTTTTTTTTTTTTAACCCCCCCACCATCTCCAGCCCTCTTTCCCCTTAGGAATAACAATTCCATTTTGTTTTCCCATCTCTGATCTTTCGCTTATCATATTATTTGCACCATGATTATAGTGTTTGCAAGGCAGCTCAACCACTTATGCCATAACACTCAATCATGACATAAAAAAAAAAAAAAGTTATTACACAGTGACCTCTGGATGCCAACATTTGTTCAGTGAGATTTATGAAAAGCCATGTCAGCAACGGGAATTGCTGCAATGAAGCAACGCTTGCTTCTGAATGGTACTTACATCACTGAGACGGTCCCTTGAGCTGCTCCGCTGAGAGCTTGTGGCCTCCCTTATGCTGTCCTCCTCACTATTTCTGCCACTTCTGCTCGTAGGGACCTTCATCTGGAGGGAGCAAAGAAAAAAAAGTAAAGTATTTTCAAGCACTGCTGTGCCTCCTGTTTCTTAGGTCATGGAGAGCATTTTCATCTCAATACTTTCACTGCAACTTGGAGAAGTGCTTGAGTGCATGGGGCTTCCCTAAAGATTGTGTTGCCCACTTGCTTCAGTGGGGTTTTTTATTAACATTCAAGGACCAGGTAAATATAGCACTCTCGGAAAGGGAACATGCTGAGCCAATGGCTATGACCCCAGGAATAGTGAGCGAAACATGAAAGGGGTTTCCATTGCAGCAGACTACTAATAAACCTCAGTTCAGACTGGATCATTTCAGTGCTGAAGACTCTTCTAACTAAGTTGACTTGTTGTTGTATCAGAATCTCCATCCCCAAATTTTCAGATTCCATTATGTATGTTTAAAAGTTCATTGGTGGTCTCACAAAAAAGGAACCAAACTTCTTTCCCCAACAGATTAAAGCCATTCATTTACATGGAATCAAACTTTTCGAGGTCATATTTTTCCTTGAAGTCTGTATAAGGGAAGTTCACACAAGGCCAGTGTTATCTGTCCTGAGAAAGCTCAACACATCCTTGGAAAATGTGCCAAAGAAAGGTAATCCGTGTGGTTGCCATTACTCTGGCAAGATAAAGATGCCAAAGCACGTGAACTATTTTGTTATTCCCATGCTACTATACTCATTTTACACCTGGGAAGCCGAGTCAAAAATAGACTAAGGACTGGATTCTCAAATGGATGTAGGTGCTTCTCCCACTGATTTCAGTGGGACCCAGTGTTTAAAAACTACTGAGGAGCTGCGGCTCAGTGACTGGCCAAGGGTCACCCACAAAGTCTATGGCAGGGCAAAAAAACAAACCTGGGTACCCTGTGTCCAAGGCTAATGCCCTAATTACTGAGTCATCCTTTGCTTCCCTTACTCACGCTTCCATGTCTTACTTCTGGTCTTGCTTACATGTGAACCCAGGGCACTGAGCACTCCTCAATCTACAGCAGGAGTAAATTTAATTCCACAAAGTGCAAAGGGGCACGAGTACAGGACAGACGTGTCAGTCATTGCTACATGCCTGGGATCATTTACTAACAAATTATTCTGCTAATTCCCTTGTGAAATATTGGGCGGGAGGAAGTGTTTGATTTATTAATAGGTTCTATTCATATCAGTTTGGCTCTATTTAAAATTACACTATTTAAAATATCGCCTTGTACAAATGGTTACTTTTAATGGCAATAAAATCCCCTTGTTTCTCTCACTGCTATTTCACTGCATAATCTTTAATTCAGCAAACTACTGTAAATATTTTACCCATCACTTGAATACAATATTATAGCCACAGAGAGGCGAAACATTAACCTGCTGTAGAGAATAAACTACATTCAGAGACCTCATAGACCAGAAAAAATCATTGTGACCATGTAGTCTGTTTTTTTCCTATATTACACAGGCTGAAATAATTCCTGCTTGGACTAGAGTACATCCACTGAAAAACTTTTCCAGAATTGGTTTAAAAATTCCCACTGATGAGGAATCCACCATCATCCTTGATAAATTGTTCTGATGATTTGTTACCTTCATTGTTTGCACCTTACTTATAGTCTGAATTTGCCTAGTTTTAGCTTATTATACCTTTGACTACTAGATTGATGATCCTTCTATTACCAAACTCCCGCTCTCCGCAGGTATTTCTAGACAGTAATCAAGTCAACTCTTAACCTTTTCTTTCTTAGGAACATGGGACTGGAGGGGACCTCTGCCGCTCCAGAGCCCAGCACTGCAATGGCCTACCATTCCAACGGCAGAGAAGTCATTGGTTAACATGTTCAGAGGATCTGAGGAAGAGGACCACATCTCAAAGAAGGCAGTGCTCCTCTCCCCTCCCACAAGTCCTTGCCCAAAATGACCCGGGGATAAATTCCTTCCTGGCCCTACATCTGGCCATTGATTTCACCCTGAGCAGAAGAGCAAGACCCTCTATGTCAGGAACCTATGAAGTTTGTAAGTACTGGCAGAAGCTGCAGCACATCCCATACAAAACTCTTAGACTTAGCGTTGATCAACATCTGATGCTTCAGAGGGAGGTGAAAGATCTCTGCAAAAGCCAATAAAGCATTTATAGCAGGGAAATGATTCCTTCCTGGTTCCTACAGGGGACCAACAAATGCCTTGAATATGCAACAGTTAAATTAAACAGACTGGCTTCCTTAAGTTTTATGTCATAAAGCATAATGTCTTCCAACCCTCTCACCATTCTTCTGGTTCTCTGAACACTCTTCAGTGCATCAGCTTCCTTGAGTTGTGAACACTATAACTGCACACAGTATTGCCACGGTGGTTAAACATCATGGTCAGATATCCCTGCTTGTACTATAATTTATCTACTTCTACTCAGGATTCCCATGTTTCTACATCCAAGCCAGCAGCATCACACTGATCGGCCAGGTTGTCTCAAGGACGCCCCAGTTCATTTTTTAATTACCTGCTTATCAGACAAGGACCCCTCACCCCAATACACTTTATTCCTTGAAGCTGGACTTGACATTTGGTTGTACTAAAACGCACAATATTTGCCTGAGTCCAGCCTATTAACCCACCTAGATCAGGAAGCTGTCTTTTTGATCACTTACCACTTCCCCATCTGTGTGAACCCACTCACCCTATGATTAGTCCCTATTCACAATTACAGTTTGAGGCAAACCAGACAGCAAGTTTTTATCCATTTGGTATATGCCATGATGATTTTATATCATTCTACTTCCTCAATCTACATTCCATAGATGTTCCCCTATTTACTGGCATTTGCTTATACCATCTTTCTATCCTTTAACTCTTTGTTCTTCATCAATGGATTCCTTTTCCAGTTGTTCTGTTATTTTTACTCAGGGCTGAAGTCAGGCTTCCAGACCTATAATTACCTGGGTCGTCCCATTTACCCTTTTCTAAATATTGGTGCATCTGCTTTCGTTCCATTCTTCTGGAACTTCTCCAGTTTTCCACTACTAATTGCAACATCAACTTTAGAAGTCAAGAAAGCTCACTGGCTGGCTCTTAAAACTACTGTATACAGCTTATGCAGACATGCCAGTTTTTAAAAACTCTAGCTTCAGCAGCGCCTGCTTAACATCCCTTTTTGTCACTGTTAAAATGGAAAGCATTTTATCATCATCATCATAGAATAGCACTATATCATCTGACTTTTGTCCTCAAATGCAGGAAATACATCGATACATACAACAGTTCTGTCTTTTCTTCATTATTATAGATAATTCAGCCAATTCCCTATAGTAAGGGACCAACATGATTATCTAATATTTCTCATCCCCTGAAAGACTGCTAAATCTGGATTGAGATGATAGCACCTTTCAGATACCTTCAAACAACGCCTAGCCAGCAACAAGTTAAAAAGAAAAAAAAAGATCTCTGCTGCTTTACAATCCCTAAACCTTCTTGGGCCCCAATGTTCAAACAAAAATATAAAGCAAGGGAAAGTCATCAATAATTTCAAGTTAAGGGTTTTACCCAACCTGTTCCCAACAGATCCCAACCTTTTGCTATTTTTCTTGAGGAGAAGGAGGAGGAGAAGTAGGAGTAGTAGCGGAAGTGGTAATGTTAGTAGTAGCAGCAGCAGCAGCGGTAATAGTAGTAGTATATTCTCCTATCACCTGTTTCTTTTCTCCAAAGTTCATTAAAGGGAAACTACACCTACACACACAGAAACAAATTGAGACAATTTGACCTGACAAGGTCTTGCACAGGCAAGCAAATTAGAAGCATCACTGCTGCCATTAACCTTTCCAAGTAAATATCAATTATTAAACTTGCTGCACTACCTCTGTCCCCAGTTTGCTGCTGTGAATTAAGAGGGTCATCAGCCTTTTTGACAGATCTTGTTCATTTACACCTGCTGCCTGCCAGCAGGGGAGCCCACACATCCGCAGCCGGAGTGCTGAGCCAAGCTGCCTTAATTCATCAGTAATTACCCTAATGAGCCACATGCAGGACTGAACTAGGAGGACAAGTTGTTCCGCTAAATGGATGCATTGGTTTCATGGGCACTCTCCACAGATCTGGGTATTAGCAAACTGGTCAAATGCTTGTTTCTTGAAGTTGCTCCTGGCTTGACTGCTTGATTTCCAATCAGCTTCTCTGAACGGTGTGGCTTCTGGCCATATCCTAAGGATTGAGCCTTACTCTGAAACCTGCCACCCCTCTTTGAAAGAGCTGGTTACCTATGAAGGATCCTAACATTAAAAGCCTGTCTAACCTTTGCACAGGGAACCTAAGTATAACAAAACCAGATAATTGCTTCCCCCTATCCCTCACCTCTTTCTCTCTCCCCCTGTTTGGTTGTCTGGTGTATTTCACAACTCTTTCGACAGTGAACAGCAGGAGAACTCTAACATGGACTTTCAACTTCAACATCCAGACCAACGACACTACGCCTACAGAGTAACTCTGGGAGCTGTCAGCATTAGTACAATACTATGCATTAGTGGAATATCCAACAGAGAAGGATGTAACATGCATTTTGCCAATGTACTGCAGTAGAATCATCACCTATTATTACACATTTCAAATGCATGAACAAACAAAAAGAACCTGCATGTTCAAGTGTTAAGGTGGCATGGTTCATTTTGGGGGGGATCAGCTCCTGCCCCAGCTCCTGCATGAACGCTGCTCTTTCTGAATATTTTTTTTTAAATGACCAATTTCAAGAAATGAGGTTGCCAATATCTTTTTAGGAAAGTTAAACCCAAACGGTACAAGAGGATGAGTATGCTGGATAAATTCTCTCTTCTAAGAGGTAAACTCTGTCCCTATCTGGATCCCAGTTCAACAATATGTTAGTCCTACCCCTTCTAAAAAGCATTGAAGTGCATTGCCAAATTCAGTCCCTACTAAAGTTAGCAAGGTTGTCTAGAAGCAGAATTTGTTCCTGCACTGTTTAAATGCAGCTTCTCCTTGATGCACGATATATCAAAGAAAGTGCAT